GAGGCCGCACAACGCGGCACTCGCCCGCGCTGCTCGAGTTCGTGTCCAGCCCAGCGCGAGATTTGGACCTCGAGGACATGGCCGAGATGAAGCGCATCAAGCTGGAGCAGTGCACGCAGCTACGCCTGCTGGAGCAGGAAGCCAAGCCAGAGGAGGTTCTGGGCAAGGTGGTGGCTGGTGGGAATGAGTGCAAGCTAAGCAGTAGGTGCTTGTAGAGGTGGCTGGTGGGAATAGTGAAGCCAGCAGGTAGTGTGTCTGCTAGAGGTGGCTGGTAGGAATAGTGAAGTACGCAAGTAGTGCTGCTAGCAGTCGGTGGACTGTGGCGTAAGCAGGTAGGCTGCTAGCCTAGAGGTGCCCTGTGGGAATTACGGTGAAGCAGCGAAGCAGAGTAGGCTGCTGCTAGAGGTGGCTGGTGGAATAGTGAAGCTAAGCAGGTAGGTTGCGCTAGAGGTGTGCTGTGGAAAGTGAGAGGCTAAGCAGATAGTGCATGCTAGAGAGGTGGCCTGGTGGGGAATAGTGAAGACTAAGCAGGGTAGGCTGCTGCTAGAGGTGGTGGTGGAATTAGTGAAAGTAAGCAGGTAGGGATGAGAGGAGGCTTAAGTGAAGGCAAGCAGGTACGCTGCTGCTAGAGGTGTGGCTGGTGGGAATAGTGAAGCTAAGCAGTAGGCGCTGCTGCTAGAGGTGCTGGGGAACATGTAAGCCAAGCAGGTAGGTGCTGCTAGACGGTGGCTGGGATGGGAATTAAGTGAGCGTGAAGCGGTAGGCTGCTGCTAGAGGTGGCTGGTGGAATAGTGAAGCTAAGCAGGGTGAGCCTGGCCTAGAGTGTGGCTGGTGGGAATAGTGAAAGCTAAGCAGGTAGGCTGCCTCGCTAGGGTGGCTGGTGGATAGTGAAGCCAAGCAGTAGCCTGTGCTAGGGTGGCTGGTGTGGAGATACGTGAAGCTAAGCAGGTAGGTGCCTGTGCTAAGGTGGCTGGTGGCGAAATAGTGAATGCTAAGCACGTGAGCCTGCCTGCTAGAGGTGGCTGGTGGCGAAATAGTGAAGGCTAAGCAAGGTAGGTGCGCTAGAGTGTGGCGTGGTGGATAGTGAGCTAAGGCAGGTACGTTGCTGCTAGAGGTGGCTTGGTGGGAATAGTGAACGCAAGCAGTAGGTGCTTGGCTAAGGTGGCTGCGTGAATAGTGAAGCTAAGCAGGTACGGTGACTGCTAGAGGTGGCTGTGGCGAATCTCTGTCCATACTGCTTTTTTTAGTGAACGCTATCACTGTCTCTTTTTTCTTTGTGATTTATGTGCTATCTCGTCCTCGTCGTCTTTTTTTATTCGATTGAGTCTATGTGCTTCTCGCTGCATAGTATATCTTCTTTTTGTTTCTTTTTTTGTTGATTTATAATTTGACTTCTTACAATTGCATGATGATTTGTTTTAGTGATTGCAGGCATTTTTGATGGGATTGATTGCATTCTGTCGACCTCCTGGTTTGCGACGAGTGCCGTTCTGCGTCATGTGTATCCTTTTTGGTCATTTCCGAAGTTCTTTTACTCTATGCATTTCCGGTTGTATTATTGTCTACGGATTTTTATTTGATTGATCTAATTCGGGCATCTTTCTGTTGTCTAGGTATAGTGCAAGCTAAGCAGGGTAGCTGCTGCTCTAGGAGGGGGCTTTGGTGGGAGACCATAGTGAAGCTATAAGGCACGGTTAGCGATGCTGCTAGAGGCTGGCTGGTGGGAATTAGGTGAAGCTAAGCAGCGGTAGCTGCTGCGTAGAGCGTGGCTGTGGAATAAGTGAAGGCAGAGCAGGTTAGGGAGTGAAGAGGAGGCTAGTGAGGCAAGCAGTAGGTGCCTGTATGGAGGTGGCTTGGTGGAATAGTGAAGGCAAGGCAGGATTAGGTATGAGATGGAGGCTAAGGTGAATGGCAAGAGGTAGTGCTGTAGGGTGGCTGAGTGGAATAGACATTCAAATGGAAAGCCTAAGCAGGTAGGGTGAGTGAAGAGGAGGTAAGTTGAAGGCCAAGCAGGTAGGTGCTGCTTGCTAGAGGTGGCGTGGTGGGAATAGTGAAGCTTAAGAGGTAGGTGCTGCTTAGAGGTGGCTGGTTGAAGTAGTGAGCAGAGCAGGTAGGCGAGTGGAGGAGGCCTAGAGTGAAAGCACAGCAGGTTTAGGCTGTGCTAGCAGGTGCTGCTGGTGGAATTAGTGAGCCCTAAGAGCAGGTAGGCATGCTGCTAGAGTGGCGGTGGGAATAGTGAAAGCCACGCAGGTTGGGTGCTGCTAGAGGTGCATGGTGGGGAACCTGAATGGTGCTCCTAGTTGAAGTAAGCAGGTACCGTTGGAGCTGGCCTGTACGGAGGTGGCTGGTGGAGGTAAGTGCGGGAGGAGGAAGATGAGGGTGAGCGGGATCCAGGGGGGGCGGGCGGTGTGATGCCGGAGAGGGGAGCGGGAAGTGAAATAGTGACGCTAAGCAGGTAGCTGTGCGACCTAGAGGAGGTGGGCTTGGATGGAATGAGTGAAGCTAAGCAGGTAGCTGTGCTAGAGGTGGGAAGGCTGGTGGGAAAGTAGACCCTGAAGCTAAGCAGGCCGAATAGGAAGCGTGTGAGAGTGAGGGCTAAGCTGAAGGCAGCAGGTAGGTGTCTGGGCTATGATGTGGCTGGGATTGGTTATAGCTGAGCTAGCAAAGGTAGGAGTGAGAGAGGCTAAGTGAAGCCAAGCAGTAGGGCTTGTTGCTTGCTGCTCGATCGTCGTGCGCTTTAGGTGAGCAACGATAGTGGAAAGCAAGCAGGTTGGTGCAGTGCTAAGAGGTGGTAGCATAATCTGAGTCGGTGAGATTAATGAAGGTGCAGTAGGTAAGGGCTGCGAGGAGAGGTGGTGAGTGAGGCGAGGAGACAGTAGTGCAGTGAGGAAGGGCAGGGGGGGTTGATAAGGCAAGCAGGTAGGAGTGAGAGGTGGCTGTGAGGAACAGTAAAGGTAAGCATGTTACGGCAGTTGAGAGGTGGCTGGGAGAAATCAGTACGGTTAAGCATGTAGGGGTGTGCTATCGGGTCGCTGCGAGCAACTAATGAAGGGCAAGCAGGATAGGGGCTGTGGAGTGAAAGGTGGCTGCGGAGGACAGCTTAAAGGCTAAGCATGTAGGGAGTGAGAGGTGGCTGGGAGGAATAATGAAGGCAAGCAGGTAAGGGCTGCGAGTGAGAGGTGGCTGTGAGGAACAGTAAAGGCAAGCATGTAGGGAGTGAGAGGAGGCTGGGAGGAATAATGAAGGGAAGCAAGTAGGGGCTGTGAGTGAGAGGTGGTTGGGAGGAACAGTAAAGGCAAGCAGGTAGTGAGTGAGAGGAGGCGGGGAGGAATAATGAAGGGAAGCAGGTAGAGTGAGAGGAGGTGGGGAGGAATAATGAAGGCAAGCAGGTAGGGAGTGAGAGGAGGTGGGGAGGAACAGTGAATGCAAGCAGGTAGGGAGACTAAAAAGAAATGTTAGGTCAATGTTCATCCAGAAGGTTATCATGGGAATAAAATAATAAACGGGAATAGGGTTTCCGTAAAATAAGCCATTCCAAAATTATTCTGGTTATGAATCTTATGATCCCCAGCCACTTTGAAATCAAAGAAAAGAGTCAAGTTAGTTTTTGTCAGAATTGTTTATAATCAGTATCAAAAAGCTTAGTTTTCTATATTGTGCAGTATCTGGAATATTATATGCAGTATATAATTAATATAGTCTTGGTAAATTTAATTATAACACGTAAATTAATAATGCTGTATGGGTATGATCATTTACTAATATGCAATTAACTGATTAATGCAGGTGAACAGTTGGATAAGGAACGGTGAAGCCATGCTGAGTGCAACATTCGCCATTCCCAACAGCCTGCAAGATTCAGAGCAGATGAGGCGGGAGCATGATCAGTTCCAGAATGCCATCGAGGTAAGCTTACCTTGCTGAATTTCAGTGAAATCCTGTCCAATAGCAGGATATAAACAGAAGCAGTTACCCATAGCAACACTGGTTAATCACTTGTTCATTGCTGTTAGATGGGACTGACATGCTCTCAATATGCAGAAGTTTGGAATTGAAATACAGTAGTCTACTATTCATATTGAAATGCTGAAAGGAATCGTCGTAGTACATGCTACAGTTATCTCTTCGTGCCGATCAAACGAGTGACGTTGCACGTGTGCTTGTACAAGTATCACCAGCCATGCATTCGCTTGGCACAGTAGCGTGTCGCAAACACCGCATCGCGCGAGACGGTGTCGGAAGCATGCGTAACGATCCGGCTTCCTTGCAGAAAACGCACCTGAGCGCGGTGCAGATCCAGCAGAGGACGCAGCTGATGTTGAAGAGCGACCACTACGACCTGGACGGCGTGCACAGCGTTGCTGAGTCGGTGCTCACCATGTGGCAGCAGCTGATGGTGCGTGCCGACGAGCGCCACAAGCTCGTTACCACGTCGATGAACTTCTACAAGACCGCCGAACAGGTGAGAGACTCGCTAACGGCTATAGTCCGGGGGGAGGGGGAGGGCAGTCGGTGGGCTAGCAGACAGCATGGCTGACTTGAGGCTGAGAAGTGTGACCATTGCTGGTGTGACTTTAAGCAAGGCAGTTCACGGCCAATTTGCTTCAATCGTCAGCTGCAGAAATGAGTTTATTACCTGGTGGAAGGCTACCAACCTTGCTGTCATAACACTGACTAGCTATTAGAGATGTAACGATACACTAGGGTTACGATACGTAGGTCACGATACAATGCCTATCACGATACACAGAAAGAAACAGTCACGTGACATGAATGTCGTCAAATTCTAATGTTATATTACATAGGTGGGTGCAGTGTGTACAAGGTATTATACAGGTACATAAGGTATGCCAGCTGCTGAATAGGTACGTCAAATTTGCAAGGTATTGCACAGGTGCGTATATGGTATAGCGGGCAAGCTATTGCATAGGTACTTGAAGTACATCAAATAATACACTTATATTCAACATTTGTATGTCGTATACAAGCTATATTACACAGTGACATCTAGTGCATTAGCTATGTTGCAAGTGTATATATGTTTGTTAGCTTTATTATACAGGGAGACAGTGTGCCAGCTGTACGTTCACATGTAGATATTGAACCTAAAACATTGGCACATGCAGTGCTTCAACTCTATATTACAGGTCAATCTAGTGTGCCAGCTATATTATTATCAATACTAGGTCATGTAAAGTCCAATAACTAGGTCATTGAAGCACACATGCCAAGATGCAGCTGTGGGGGGGGGTGGAGTGATTCACACAAGGGTTTCTATATTTGGCTCCTGTTTTCATCTTTCCTCAGCTTAATCAGTGGTTTGAAGATCTGAAGGCGGAGCTGCAATCCACGGAGATTGCTGATTCAGTCGAGCCGGCGGAAGCGTTATTGAATCAGTTTCATCAGCAGAGGGAGGCAACGCTGGATGCATCAATCAACACGATGAGCGAGGGTGAAACCCTCCTGGAGCAGTTGAGGTAACCACATCCTCGCGTTCTACTTGTTCGAAAGTTAGACAAAAATTATCGATTTTATCCAAGTATATCCAGCTCTAGATTGTAAAATTAAGATTTCTTGTCTGGGAGATAACAATACTTAAAAATGGTGCGAGTCAAATAACTTATGATAGTACATAAATAGTACATATAATAAACATGTAAATGAGATAAAGGAATGTTTTCTGGCATATGAGAATTAACTAGCCTTTGACTGTATCTAGCTGTGCACGCATTTCACAAATAAGTCTGGCTTACAAAGTAGACCCTAGTTCCACATGTATAATTTAGTTACATGAAAGGTTGCTACATTTCTGTAATATTAAAGTATCTCCAATTTACTATTTATCTATTACTTGCAGAAACATTGTTAGGTAAAAGACTCGGAGGTACATTATAAGACATTTCTACATTATCCGCATGAAATGAGAGAAGTTATTTAAAAATGCATTTAAGTTCGTTTGTGCATAGTCACTGTTTTCGCTTCCTGTTCCTTAGAGCTGTCACGGAAGATTATGGGCAGAACAGCTCCTACCAGCACTTGGCTGAAATGCTGAAACATCTGAATGAAACGAGAGCACACTTAAACGAGCTGTGGGCAGCCAGGAAACTCAAGCTGGAGTTATGTCTTCAGCTGAGGTTGTTTGAGAGAGATGCACTAGAGGTAAGAGTGTTTGTTTGCAATGTTGTGGGAATTACTAACCCTTATAGCAAGAGACCCATTGCCAGAAACATAACAATTAGTTATGATGATTGTAAGTGTAATATGTCATAACCACTTTATTGACTGTTAAAAAATTAAAATGTATTTTTCGGTTGCTACTTTTCAAGCTCGCGTGCATGAAAATAACACTCAAAAATTTGGTTTGCATTGAACTTCAGCAGCAGAGGAGTACCTTTGGATGCCTTTTCCGTAATGTATGGGTTTTATCGGTGGAGTGGCTTGCTCCATGCTAACCCTCCACTTTTACCCAGGCTTGCAAATGACCAGGGCATTCTGAAACCCATTGTATTTCAAACCTTCGACTAACTCACCGTGGTGAAGGATACTACTCTCTCCGGACTCACATTTCAGGAGACGAAGGATAAAGTGAAGCTGCTCATCCAGCTTGCAGACAACCTCGTGGAGAAGGGTCACGCGCACGCGTCCAGCATCAAGTCATGGGTGGCGGCCGTCGACAAGCGTTACAAGGACTTCTCCTCGCGCATGGAGAAGTATCGCCTGAAGCTGGAGCAGCAGCTCGGCTACAAGCAGGAGGAGCAGGATGATGTAAGCGGCTGCCGGCAACGACGCGTCTCCGCACGGCTACGGCAATTGTGAAACTTGTCTCATTCGGTTATGCTGGTCGAACAGTTATCAAAAGTCTAATTGTTGCCTTATTCGGTTACGCGGGTCGAACAATTATTGAAAAGTGTAATTGTTCTTATATGTGTTGTTATTGTTGTTATTATTGTTTTTTATTGTTGTTATATTCTGCTATTCCGTGTGGGGATTGTCTTCACGGCAACCAGGTCTGACATTGGTTTGTTTTACTCTTGCTCGACAGGCAAGCAGTGACAGCATGGAACGGCTGAGTCAGAACCGGGATAGTGACCCGACCTTGGAGGCGAAGTTGAAGGACGCCAGCAAGGAGCTGACAGAAGAGAAGCGCAAGTCAGCTCGAAGGAAAGAGTTTATCATGGCCGAGCTGCTGCAGACGGAGCGTGTGTACGTGAGAGACTTGGAGCAGTGCATCAAGGTTAGTATCTCACATCCAGCACGGGGAATTCGTTCAGGAAATCACGAAAAAGTTCACATTCAGGGAATGAAATAGAATGAAGATGATGTTGGGCCATAATAAAAATATTGTTTGTTTGCCCTCACCCGACCGACCCGCCAAAAAGGGGCCGACTCAAACATTTTTATTGATCTTTCCCATTCTTTTTTTTTTACAAGTTGTATCACTGTACATTATATAAATCTGTAGGCAATACATTATATGTACCAAGCAAAACAAACATTCAACATAATAGGTATCTCCACACAAGCACCCCTGAGCATGTAGACACCATGCTGACTTTGTAAAAAGACCCCCCTCAAAAAAAAATTTAAGCCTACCTACCTACCCAAACTTTTCAGCCTGGGTCCGGGTGTGGGCAAACAAAGATTTTTTTAAGTGTGGCCTTGTGGACACAGAATTATGCAGTAAGGTTTGCCAGCAGCTGTGTAAAATAGATAGACCTTGATGTGGTCATGGGACAATGCAGTAATGTGTTATGTCAGCAGTGTAAAATAGAATGTGGGAGATATAACTGACACAGAGTGGCCCAGATGGGTTTCACGCTAGTACTGTCAAATCGAACATAGATGATATCAAAGATTTTGTATAGTGTAAGTAATGATTAACTGTGATCATTGAGGGAGCAATCTTAACTTTCACCTGATGCATTATCAATGTATTAAATTTTACGTTCTAACGAATGTTGGTTCTATGGAATCTATTGGACATGCATGGTTTAGTTGAGTTTTGTATATCGTGTACTGATGATCATTAGTTTTGTATTAAACTCAATGAATTTTAATCATTTTCAGCATTACCTAAAGGAAATGCAGAATTCTCCTGACTGTCCTCCTGGAATCCGAGAGAAAAGTCAGATCCTGTTTGGAAACATGGAAGAAATATATGAATTTCATAATCGGTAGGTAAACTATTGCTTGATTCAGTACAGGAGATAAAGAAACTTACATTTGAGGTTCACAAGGATGTTGATGGTAGTAGCATTCTGTGTATACCTAGTCTACAATAGTAATTTTTATAGCACCACTATGTGTACTGACATATATTAACTGACTATAACCACCTCTCTTCTGTGAAGGTGGATCTTGTAGGTGAATGAGAGGAGCTAGATTTTATTTTAACAAGTTGTAAATAGGGCAAAATTTGCTGTGATAGTAGCTGAACATAAAATGTGGTTTTTGCCAGGATTTTTCTGCGAGAACTCGAGAAGTATGAAATGCTGCCAGAAGATGTCGGCCATTGTTTTGTTACTTGGGCTGCCAAGTTTCAAATATATGTCCTATACTGCAAGAACAAACCAGACTCCAACTCTCTACTTGTGCAACATGGTGGTAACTTCTTTGATGTGAGTAGCTTTGGGGAAGGAAAGTACATCTGCACACTATATCTGCCTAAAATACAAGTTAACGCATAATACAAAATATGCTGTGATGTGGCTGAGCACCATAAATTAGCAGATCTTCATATTTTGTGCACCACACACATATGACATTGTCCTATCTTCAGTGTTTAATGCACAGTTCCTTTTCTGTTTCTATATCATCTTGCAAGAAGAATCTTCATTTTTTATAGTTTTATTTAGAAATTTAAAAAAATTACAATATTATAATTCGTTCTCTCTGTGTGTTTTGTATTCGTTTAGACCCTCCAGAGTAGATACAACCTAGGCTTGTCTATAGCTGCTTATCTTATCAAGCCTGTGCAGAGAATTACGAAATACCAGCTCCTTCTTAAGGACCTGCTAGCCTGCTGCGAGGAAGGAAGAGGCGAAATCAAGGTAAATTAATAGCCTTTAAAAGTGATTTTGTTAATTAATAATTAACCAGTGTCTCCACTTTCACATGTGCAAGCAGTGCCATAATAACATTTTAAACACAGTAGTCCTGTTACAGTACAATGTAGATAAACAGATATATGCAAACCATGTTCCAGCAATATAGTGATGTCGATTTTAACTGGTAGGTGATGTCACATGATAACGCATAATGTGCGTCACTTATCTCATTGAAGAACCAAAAATCTATAAATCTATATTTGTGATAAACATTTTTAATACTTGAATTTGCAGGCATATCGCCTTCTTAGGTATAGGTAGCACTTGTTTGTATTTCATACATGGCAAATAATCGCAGCCTTGTTATAATATGAGTAAATGGGTCTGTTGTCAGAAGTGTCATAAAGAGTTATGAATATCATAAGTCTTTAAATATCATTTCACATGACAAGTTATAACACTGTAGGCGTGTGTTGTCATAACTGTTGATGATGTATCTGACAACAGCCCCCTGTTGTCATGCTTTGATATGTTTTACATGACCGAATATAAAGATATTTGGGAACTCTTTATGTTCTTGTTGAGAAATTATTAGACCAATATCTACCAGGAGTTGGTTTGCTATTCAAAAACTAGTATTAATGTATGTCATCTAATTGGTAAATCAGTAGTGTCTATTTACTCAGTCCATATTTTTTTAAGTCCGTCAGTTGCTCGCAGAGCAAGCTGTGATATTTTGTTTGTGTAATTAGTGCGAATTTTGTCGTTGATTTTAGGATGGCCTAGAAGTCATGTTGAATGTACCGAAGAAAGCCAACGACGCGATGCATCTGAGCATGTTAGAAGGATACGAAGTATGCATTTGCTTACACAGTACTGCTGTGTTCCCATAGAATAGACAAGGTCCACGTTCGTATTGGGCCCTTATCAGAGCCTGTGCTACCAGTGCCCTCTGCTAATAGTTTCGATTATTTTTTTTGATTGCGTTTCTCCTTAACTGTGTACAAGAACGTGCCTATCTTCAAGTTAATGCTAGTTTTTAGGGCTCTCTGTTCTGCTGGTTTTCTTAATAGATTAGGTCTTTGACAATATTGGGTAAATAATGGGTGTGTTCTAAACAAAATATGTCCATGCTTCGTTCTGGGTCAGAAAATTTACTTAAGTTGGTAGATATTGGCTACTCAGCAAGGTGGATCGAGAATCACTTTGCAGGATTCACGGGGTTTAGGAGTTTGCTATATAATTTATTTTTTATTAGGTTTATGTCATTGCTTTTCCCCGAATTGCTCCCACAGTAAAATGAAATTTCATTATGTAAATATTTCATGTTCACGAACTCTTGACAAAGCTGTTACTGTCTACAACATCATGCTCATTTATCATGCATCAATAGATGATTTCCAAAAAGATATTTCACGGACAATCATGGATAAAAATAATTCTGTCGTTCCCGGATATATTTCCTGCACGTTCGTTTATCTAAATTTGATAAAAAAAACTCGATGTCTAATTGCCAGTAAGTGTAATTCTGATAAGTCGACCGTTCCTGTAGTCAATGTAACTATATTTTCTACATGACCACCTTTGCAGGAAACACAAGAAGCTCTTGGGGAGGTATTGCTGCAGGACAATTTCACCATCTGGGACCCGAAGCAGTTGATACGAAAGGGACGTGAGAGACACGTGTTCCTCTTCGAGATGTGCCTCCTCTTTGCGAAGGAGATCAAGGACAGCAACGGAAAATCCAAATACATTTCCAAGAGCAAGCTAATGGTAGGATGTCTTTCCATTGGCGTCAATGTTGTTAGGTTACCTTAATGGTTTCCGTCTACGCACTGTGAAGGATTTTTACATCGGGGAAAATGCGCTCACATATCGACACGCACTTCTGTCTGTTATCGATTATTGGCAAGGATTGGGGAATTGTCAGCATAGCACGGCTTAATGGAAGGCATTGTACTATCGTGTAACATCGTGAATGTTCTCAGCGAAGTAGGTGGTGTTCGCGTCTTTGTTAGGGGGCTGGAAGGCGTTAGTGACGAGGGTGCCGCGGGTTTGCTTTTGTTTCGCCGACTCACCGCCGTGTCCATTATACGCAGACGTCAGAGGTTGGCATCACGGAGCATGTGGAGGGGGACGAGTGCAAGTTTGCACTGTGGACGGGTCGCACTCCGCTCCCCGACTACAGGATTGTCTTCAAAGCCGGCTCTCTGGAGATAAAGCAGTCCTGGGTCAAGAAGCTACGAGAGCTGATCCAGGAGCGCATGCAATTCAACATTTCCACCGGTGAGCATCGCGTCGCGCGCGCGCGAGTGTCGGTTGTAAGGCTGACGGTAATCATATTTCACTGGCCTGCTCCTCAGCCTCCTTATGGCGGTGCATCTTCCCGGAGCTCTCAGCAGCATGCTAAGTGGTTGAGCGCCAGTGTGCTCCAGCTGGGACAGTTAATTAGGATAATCTGACACAATCGCAGATGCAAATTTTCGCCACGATATGTCCACAATGTCCTAATTACAAGAGAGAGACCTCTAGGAATAACAACCGCTCGTAAAACGCGCTTGTAGGCGCAGCACTTTTGTCAATGTGAGTATGTGCACCGTTTGTGTTAATGCCCGTTTGCCGTGACCCGATTCAACAGTCCCACTCGTACCTATTACGTCCCACGGAAATGTCACGTCGGCACCACTAAAGGTCTAAAGGTCGTGCAGAAAAGAATGTATGTGACCTCGGGGGTTTGGCAGCATAAAAGCGTATAGCGCGTCGATTGCGCCTGAATCGTCTGCCCTGGATATACAGATGGGTCTATCGTGGCTGTCTGATGCGCCCGTGCCACAATATATACATGCATACCCTCATCTGTGTAATTGACTATCCTCACGCGTATATGTAATTACTGTGTAAATCGATCACAGGCCAGATGTAGAGAGAACACATAGAGAGGACTGTCATGCCAAAGTTCTAGCTATATAAAGCACATGGAAATGTAGGGTTCCATAGTACAGTTGTAGAATTCTCATTTGATGGTGCCAGCAGGGAAGCATTATTTTATAACGAGCATGGTTTCTCTCAGTAATTGTATCCCTGCGACGAAGTCGGTGGGGATACTATGGTTTCATGTCTGTCCAGCTGCCACCGCCACAGACACTTTCCTTTCCGCTTTATAACTTTACCCCTAATTGACCTAGCGTGACCAAACTTGGTATACTTACACATCTTGGGGAGAAGGTGCGCAGCGTACCAAAACGTAGCAATTGTTAATTTAGCAATTTTCTAAGGAAAGTCAAGCATCAAAGAGCCCTGAAAGATGCAGCTACTCAAATTAAACCCTCTAAAAAAATCCGGTAAAATGCTATTACACCCAAAACAATACCAAATCAGCAATTTATTCAGAGAAAAAAATGCTTTTCGCATCTAGTTATCTGTCCACAAAATGTTTGAATAACTAGCCTTCAAAAAATGCTGCTTCTGTTCCTGGTGTTTGTTGATCAGGAGAGACTAGAGGTATCCATTTGGCGCGAGTACTGTTAGAAATCCGAGAAACCTAACGGTCCACAGCCAGTTCGTTGAACCCCGGTCTCGGTGCGATTCACGTTTCAATTCCAAAATGAGACTGCCCCCCAAATCCCAAAAACAGAGTAAACGACTGCCATGATGCCAAGAAGCAACCCACCATAAATAAACATACAAGAATAACCAAGAATATACCTAGACAGAGTGCACTCACGAAGAGTGCAGTACGGCTCCCGCGCACGCCAACATGGCGGCAATAGAAGCCCGGCCGGGCGCTCTCTGGTCTCTCGATTCTGGGCTCGAGTATCGGAAGTTCGAGCCCGTCGCGACACGAGAGAGTGCCGCAAGAATATCGGAGTCGCGGAACCGTAGGCGGCAGGTGCGCTAAACACAGCATGTTAAATTTCGTGTCTCTCTCGAGTGGGGCCAAACCCTCTCCGAGGCCCGCCCTTTTCTGAAGCTAGCAGAGATAACCCTAGAGTTCCTGAAAGAATATCGGCAATTCTGGGCTGCTGTGAAGGAGTGGGTCGCCACCACCGTGTTGGAAAAATAATAATACGCAGAAGGTGCGGCGTAGCGTGAGTTGGAATAGGAGCAAGCGAGAAAGTGTCAAATCTGTCGACGCGCCTTGGCAGTACAATGGGCCGCATCACGTCCGAGATCTCTTTATGGACTGCTTGATGTTATTGTATTAATCACGCAAGCGAGTAACATACAGAGAAGCGCAAACTCAGGGCGGAGGCCCACAATGTGTTCTTTTTATTATCTTTGTATGTCGTCGTTGGTTGCAGATCTGTCGGCTGTTTTGTTGCGGCAAGTATCAGGGTGTTAATCAATGACAAATTTGTCGACATTGTTGGCACATTTAGGCGCAATTGTACCTTTAGCGCAATTAACGCGCATTACCCCATTACATTTACCCATTTTGTCATTTTACCCCCTGGTAATACTTAAAATAACTACACTTAATACAATAGCGATGTAAATTCGTAATGGTAACTTGTAACTTTCTCGCACCCGGCTGTTAGATGCGATATGATATGACTACTCAGCACTTAGAGTATGACTACTACGGTACACTTAAAAAAAAAAAATAACTCCCTAACCCTAACCCTAAGCTAACCTAAACCTAAACCTAACGCTAAACCTAAAGCCTACCCTAAAATAAGAAAAAAAATTAAATTCAAATCTAAAGTGCCTAGTAGTCATATCATATCGCATCTGAAACTGCGGATTGCTCTATTTCGGGTATACCGCCAGCCCCGATCATATGACATGTGACATGTCGCTGCGGACATCCGTGCGCTTGCACCACATACGGACACACGGACGATACAGTCGCATGCTATATACTGCATTTTCCTGCCCGCGAACACACCGCTTTAACACATCACTGCTGCAACTGACACAATCGACAAAAAAAAACGCTCAAAAGTTTTTATGCGAAATTCCTGAAGCCATTAATTGGCGGAAGTATTGTCGAAACGCATAGATTGTCCAAAATTTAGAGTGCGCATAGCTCGGCCAGCGGCCGGTTCCCTGGCGGTGGATTGACATCTTCGGTTTAGACAGAGCAAGTAGCGAACAACACGCAAATATTATCGAATGCAGTTCGTTATTGTCGTTTCAGAGTCTTCCTGGGGTATATGTGTAGGTTTAAAGCTTGATTCATAATAGCTCTGAGCAGGTGGTGGTGATTTTCCTTATCGCTCGCGAGCCAGGTGGCTACTGCTTTTCCACCGCGCTTACTTGAAGCGCCTAACCTATGTTCTAGGTGATAGCCTTATATTCACTCAGGCGAGGTCTTATTGACTACACTAGACTGCGAAGAATTGCTGCATGAGGGGGAGGAGTGCCCCTAAACTTAAGTAATCCCAAAAACGATTGGGCATAGACCCTTACTACCCAGTAATATATATATATATATATATATATAGCTTAGAGGATTATATATATATGTGTGTGTGTGTGTGTGTGTGCGTGTGGTGTGTGTGTGTGTGGCTGTGCGTGCGTGCGTACTTGCCGGCGGTGAGCTTGCCCGTGCCGTGCGTGCCGGTGCGTGCGTGCGTGGTGTGTGTGCATGCCGTGTGTGTGTGCATGCGTGGGCGTGCGTGGTGCGTGCGTGGCGTGGCGTGCGGTGTGTTGTGTGCATTGGCGTGTGTGACGTGTGTGTGCTGTGTGTGTGCCGTGTGCGTGTGGCGTTGTAGATTATCACATGCGCAAATCGAGCATTTAAATATCACAGGCGGAGTATAAGAAGACGTGGTTTGATTACGAGCAGGCCAGCAATGCAATCCTAGCGCTAAAGGCATTGTCGAACGTTTGAATCATGTTAGCAAGCTATGCAGCGCCGCTTCATGGGCTCTTCCCACCGGTGACTCAAGTGCTACAAAGGTCTCTAACACGATCCGCATTGCGACGCCAACGACGCGTTTGAGACAGCTTGGTCTTTGTTGACTTTTCCTGAGAGTTTATCCGGTTTAGGCGGGAGCGAATCCCAGTGAAAGTGTGTGGGAAGTACTGGCGATTGCAATTGGTCGTATAGGTTCGAGGCGCACACGGTTGAAGTCGTGAGGAGGCGTTTCGAGATTTAGAGGCCAGTGCCAGTGCACGCGTAGCACACACAGAGTCTAAGAGAGCCAAAGACAGGACCAGGTCACGGGTGATGGCTTAGAGACATAGGCCAAGAAATATATAGTATATGAGAGAGAGATACAGGATAAGGTGCTAGAACAGGCCGCGTGCAGAGGCAGATAGGTGTTTCAGGACTCTAAAGGCATGAGAACAGGCTCTCTAGGGACAAGGGCAGTATGCTTCTAGGTAGCAACCAAAAGGCATCACTTAATAGATAGCTCAAGTGTCTTGGTTGATCATGAAGTAGGTTAGTAATAGTAAGTATAACATGTAGAAAGTTGCACGACGACATTCAGGCACAGCGCAGGAGCAACTGGTTCTCATGTTTCTGGATGACGGGATAAGGGCAGTTCGAATAGACCAAGGCAATGCGCGCAGGCCAAGGCAGGCCCACACGGCGCAGGCAAGGCAGCCCAGGCAAGGGGGACAGCGCCAAGTAGCAAGCGACGCCAAGGCAGTAGGTATGGCGGGGTGAACCTTAGTGTATCGTTACATCTCTAATAGCTATAGATCCAAGTGTATCCAGACAGGCGCCAAAAGGTGTCTAAGGGGTCCAAAGGCACCGGCAGGGCCCTAGTGCCAAGGCAGGAGGCTACCACACGGCCCCCACGGCATGCCGCAAGGCAGGCCAAAAAGGCAAAGGCTAAGAAACAAAGTAGGCCCGGAGGCGGCAGGCAGGGCAGGCGGGCCAGGCAGTGGCCCACGACAGCCGCGAGGCAGGCAGACAAGTAAGGAGCGCCGAGGCAGGCGGACAGGACAGGCAGGCAAAGGGCAGGCAGGGCAGGCAAGGCAGGCAGCGCAAGCCAGCCCAGCGCAGCCACGCCGAACCCAAGGTCCAGCGAGCGCAGCCATGGCCAGCCCAGAGCCACCCAGCCAGCCAGCCACAGCCCAGCAACGCAGCACCCAGCGCAGCCAGCCCCTCAGACGCAGCCCAGCAGCCCCAACCGCGTAATAACCATCATTCTGCACCGCACTGGGACAGATTGAAGCCCTACACAGCATTGGCTAGGTCGACACGTCCACGTCACGTATGAAACGGTCAACCACAGAACATGTCACACCAGTCTCCACACTGCCCAGTACCGCCCACATGCGTCGACCCCGGACGTAGCGCACCCACACCGACTGCCTCCCCACTCCCC